TCCTCATATTTTAGGTACATCTTTATAATAATTTTGCATTAATTATTTAATATTATCTAATAATTAGTTCTTTTTATATATAATATATAATCTATTCTTATATAATATATAATATATATAATATATAATATATAAGAATACGTACTACGTGCTATATACTAAATATATATATATATATATATATATATATATATATATATATATATATTACTACTGTACTAGACTTCTAGTATATATATATATTATAAACCTAGAAATAAATGAAATAAATATATTGTTTTGTTTGCTTTCCTACAGAACATAGCATACGGCGGTAGCGGAAAAAAAAGCAAAGTCAAATTGGACCGGCAAGATTAGCTAGAATTGTGGAAGGCCTTAGCACAAAAATAGAAATTCAATGGTGGAAAATGAGTTGAAAATATTTTGAGAGTAGTATAAATAGATGATGGCAACTCATTCTAAAATGTTCATTCTTCCCTCCTCTATAGTATTCGTTGAAGTTGTTATCAATGTCCATTTGTGACTAATTTCTAGTTGGTTTAGTGAATTGAAACCCCGGAGTTCATAACGCTGTAAGGTTATTTATTTAACTTTATTATATATATGTTTTTATGCATTTTGAGTATTAAATATTCTTCTAAATTATTTGAATAGTTGTATCATTTAATTGCTAGGGAGGCCTACTAGTTATTTATTTGATATAATTATTTGCTATATTAGATAATGTTGTGCTACAAATTATTCTAATATTCAGTAGCAACTGAGGTTAATTATTGACGGCTTAGTGATAATTGGTCTCAGGTAGAATATTTTCCTAAATTAAATGCAACCGCTTGTGCTTGTGTTATTTAGTTTGTCGGTTTTCCTAGTTCCTATTGCTGCTATTAAATTAAATCTATAGCGCTTGTCTTAGATTATTTAGTAGTTAGGGGTAATTAAACCGCTTGTGCTTTATTTACCTACAACTAACGGAAAACAGAAATGAAATAATTTCACGACAAATATTCAATTGCATATTAATTACTTTATTAATCAATGATCAGTGTTGAATTCCGGTGGTGGATCTTTACTAACCAAGGTCTCCTATTATAAGTGTTTTCGATATATTATTTTCATTGCTTTATTCGTTCGATTAAATTTCTTGTTTATTTAAATTCTCTTTTATTTTATCTTTATTCTCGATATATTCCAAACCCCCCTACCTTTAATTTGAGCACAAAAGTTAAACTAGTTACTCCTCGTGGGATCGATCCTTACTCCCGCTACTACGTTTGTAAGGTTTTAATTTGGAAGCCTACGACAGCTCACACACCTAGTTTATACAGCTCAATTGGTCAAAAGATGGCAAATTATTGTGTGGACCGTGTTCCACACAGCTGTGTGGACCACGGTCCAAAACGACGTCGTTGAATATTATGAGTAAAAATAATGTACATTATGTGTTAAAATATTATACATTATGTGTTAAAATAAATATACATTACGTGTTAAAATAATGAAACTTTTGAGGTAATATAATGTACATTATGCTTTAGAATAATGTACATTATAAATTATAAAAATGTATGTTGCTACGGATCGTGTGAAAAAAATATTACACAAAATGACGTCGTTTTTGGACCGCGGTCCACACAGCTTTGTGGACCACGGTCCACACAATAACTATTGTCAAAACACTCTCAAATGTTTATACAACTCACAACTAAAACCAAATTCATACTTCAATTATTTGGTCTTACAATAGTAAGAATTTCAAGCAGCAAAATTTTATCAACAATAGAGGTTTCTTTTGTAAGCAATATGTGTTACGAGCAAATGAGATTGATAAGCAGGATTCTTTACAATGTCATTCAAGATATTTTCTGTTCAAACAGTATACGAAGTCTCTTACTGTTAAGAAGAACGTTGGTGAATTAAACCTCATAGCCTATTATTGCTAGCAAATAAAACTTTGAATTTATTTTGAATTGATTAACTAATTGAATTAGTGTCTAGGACATATATATTTGCTTATTTCTTTACCATAAATTCCATAAATCATTCAATTATTTACTTTCTCCTTTCAATTATTCTTCCAACTGAACCCCAACCCTAAGGCCCCCCCACACTCCGGACCCCGGCCCGATAGAGCATTTGGGAGGATGTAAATCATGGTGACTCAACTGAACATGAACCACAAAGGCTAGACCAGTGCTCACTGGCACAAGGAGCCCCCCTCACTTCCCACACCCCGGCCCGACAGAGCATTTGGGAGGATGGAAATTATGGTGACTCAACTGAACATGAGCCCCCCTCACTTCCCACACCCCGGCCCGACAGAGCATTTGGGAGGATGTAAATCATGGTGACTCAACTGAACATGAGCCCCCTCACTTTGAGAGGGTACTCCCACACTCCCGCTAGTGAGACTCGATCCCTGATCATTCTTTCAAAATTTCACCTCTATGACCAGTTGAGCTACCCATGCGGGCCCTTTCAATTATTGGCTAATGTGCTTGACCGTCAGGTTCAATTACATGTGTTTTCGAATTCTTTCTACAATACATAAATATGTAGCTCTTCCTTCTGTGGCATTTTTCCTACAAACATATGATTCACTAGCACCTTGAAAAAAAAAAAACATCACTTTAAAATAACAATCATTATTCTATGGACCATAGTCCACACAAGTTGTGTGAATCATATTTTGTATACTGTAAAATAATGTACATTCAATACAAAAATAACATACATTCAGTACAAAAATAATGTATATTTAGTATATTAAAAATGTATATTTTGTTATGGTCCACATAACATTGTGTGGACAATAATTTGCCTTAAAATAAACTATGATAGGGTACTTTTGTAATTTAAAAAATTCGACTAGATAAGCGGTATTAATTACTAATGAGGGAACTTGGGCTTGTTAGCTTTTTGGGTCTTTTTTAAAGGCTTGGCATTTTAGACTAGTTTAGCCTCTTTTGGGCCTTGTAATTCTTAAACTAGTTTAGTCTTTATTTTGTAAGGCTTGGGCCCCTTTGACATTTTAGGCCACTTTGGGCCTTTATCTTGGTTAAGCGCAAATTATGCCCTGGACCCGTATTCACAATGCATTGTGGACACGAGTCAAAAACGACGTCGTTTTCAGGAAAAATGCGTCATTCCAGTTTAAAAAAAAAAATTTGATTTTGTCTCGCCGTTAACGGCGTTATTCGTTTCTGCCATTATGAATGTATAGTTATGGGATTATGAATATACAGTTATGGAATTATGAATGTACAATTATGGAATTATGAATGTAAGTTATAAAATTATGAACACAGAGCTCTGACATTATCAACTTACAATTATGAACATATAGTGATAAAATTATGAACATAGAGCTCTAAAATTGTGAACATGGAACTTCGAAAATTATGATTTTACAGTTATTGAATTATGAATGTACAGTTACGGAATTATGAATGTACGATTATGCAATTATGAATGTACAGTTATGCAATTATGAATGTATAGTTATGGAATTATGAACACAGAGCTCTGTTATTATGAACTTACACTATGAACATATAGTGATAAAATTATGAACATAGAGCTCTAAAATTGTGAACATAGAGCTTCGAAAATTATGAAGTTACAGTTATTGAATTATGAATGTACAGTTATGGAATTATGAATGTACAGTTATGGAATTATGAACATAGAACTCTGACATTATTAACTTACAATTATGAACATATAGTAATAAAATTATGAACATATACTCTTATAACGAAGCGGTTTGAAATTTAAAAAAAAAAAAAGTGGAAGATAACAGTGCCACTAACGGCACTGTTACCCGTGTCTGGCATGCATGTTGGACACAAGTCCATAGCATAACGATTATTGGTTAAGGCTTTTAGCCTCTTGTAAAATTTGGCCACAGGTCACTTTTGGACCTATGGCGTCTGTAAGGTTTTGTGTCTTTTTTTTTTTTTATGTGGAATAAAAGTTCATGGTTCGTTAAAAAATAAATAAATAAAAATTACTAATATTTTATTTTTGTTAGTAACTACATTTTTTTATACATCGTAAATGAGATAAAGATGGTAATCTAGGTGCCAAGTAATACCAACGAAATTGGCGAACGAAACAATTTGATTCCATTTGGAGGTGAGTCTAGAATTCGAGTAGATTCATTCAAATTTGTCAATAGTACTCCACTCAATACAGAAATTAGACTTTTTATGAATGCTTATGACCTTCATATTTTTATAAATCTACGTCTAAAAGATATCATATTGTTGTTTTATTCTAAAAATAGTCCAATGATTACGGAGTAATTATTATTCTCAAAGTCAAGGATCAAACTCTTGACCTTTGGTTAAGGATGAATGAGTCCCTTCCACTCAACCACATTTTCCAAGTTATTAATTGTTGATTTTGTTTTAGAGTTTGTCATTCGGTTAAATATTTATTTAGTAAGCGTTAAATTTAAGAATAAGAATGTAAAAATTATTTTGTTGTTAAAATGAGAAAATTGAGTTTATAAACTAAATACATTAAGTTCATCATTAGTGAAAATGTGAAGAATATGTTGATGCTTAAGTCAATTTGGACTAAAGTACTGATAAGTCCAACAAATTTGATACTATTATATTATTTATTTCATCATCTTTAAATATGCAAATCTGGATGGACAATTCTACATTTCTACTAGTTAATTTTTAGGGAAAATCGCACTTTTGGTCCCTCAATTGTTGCATGATCTGCATTGTGGTCCCCCATTGTCAATTTCATTTAATTGGGTCCCTACTTCTTTTAAACCGTAGTCAATTTGGCCCTTCAATCAAATTCCTCTCCAACTATAGTTAATACCATGGACAGAAATGTAATTTCACAATACCCTCCCTTTACCCCCTAACTTCTTACACGCCATTTTAACCCCAATTTCATTTCATTTCAGCCACAAATCCACATCAATTCTTACCCATTCCCTCTAAATTCAACGAAGACAATGAAGTTCATATTGCACGACGATGGCTTCTAACAACTCCGGTGGTTCAGTTGAATGGATTCCAGAAGTGCGCTGTTGGTGTGGCGAAGTCGCTCCTGTAAGGATGTCCTGGAGTTGTGCCAACCCTGGAAAGCGATTTAGAGCATGCCCACACTATGGAGTACATGTAAGCATGTAAAAAGATTTTAGTTTGCTGTTCTTAGGTGTAGAGTATTTAATTTGGCTTTGTTTATTAATTTGAATTACAGGGGAATGGGAACTGTAGGTATTTTCAATGGTTGGACTCTGATGTCACTGACTGTGTATCCAAAGTGATTCGAGGTCTATTGAAGATGTTAGATAAGCAAGAAAGTGAAATCCAAAGGCTTCAAGCAGTGATTGCTGAGAAAATTGTCAAGCTTAAGAAGAAGAGTCTTGCTTCAAAAATTCAATTTTTGTATGGTTTTGGATTTTGAATTGTTGTAGGTTGTTTTTTTTTTTTTTTTTTTTTTTTTTTTTTTTTTTTTTTTTGGCTTTGGATGAAAAGTGTTGATCCAAGTGAAAAGTTGTTCCAGTTGAAATAGGAACTATGTAGCTTAATTGGTTTTAAATGTCTGTTTGGATTATTGAATGTGGATATGACCATGCTGGATTATTGAATCTGGAAGTGAATTATGGTTTGGATTATTGAATGTATGCAAATTATCTATTCTATTTGTCCGTTTGGATTATTGAGTGTGGATATGATCCTGCTGGAACTATTAAGTGGCTAAATGAAGTGCCTTGAAGACCAAATGAGCAAAATACAAATGACCAAATCCAATTAACTGTTAAGTGGATAAATGGATTTGAACCAAATACATTCATACATTCATAGACTGATAAATGGATATGAACCTGCTGAACACTCTATTTACCAATCAAACCTCAAGAACTGCCAATTGATTGAAAAGAAAGGCCAAATGTATAAATGACCGAATGAGCAAAATAGATTCATACATTCATAGTTAGCAAATTCGAAATGCCAAATGGTGAAACTGGCAATAAAAAAACTTACAAAAAACTACAAGGTGGGTGCCAGCTATCACTTGATTGTTTACCATAAACATATAAAAAACATACATAATTCATTGTTCCCTTATGCTCACATACATAATTCATTGTCTCCTGGCCAATCTCTGAAGATGAGTTAGAGTTCTTAATCTCTGAGGTGCTACAATCTTATCAGCAACACTTGAAGACTGTTGTGCAGTAATAAAAATAGACTGATGTGCCACCTGGTTCTGAAGTGTTTGTGATGTCTGAGATCCCATTACATCCTGAGATACCTATAGAAATAAGTGGTCAGTAACTTCAAATAGAATTTCTAAAAAACCAAAATAAATTTTGAACATCCAATTACCGTTTCATCAATCACAAATGATGGGACTTGTGTTTCAACTGGTATGTCTTCAAACTGCCCTTCTACATCACCTTGACCATTAACATTCTGATTTTCCAAAACAACATTCTGATCTTCACCCATTCCAGATACCTACTTAAGTCTTTTTTTGCTTGCTCTCTTGAACTGGGTCTATCTTTCTCTTTTTCTTAGGCCTACCAGGTTGTGCTTTATATTTAGGTGGTAGTGGTGTTGGAAGATCTATTTTATGCCATAAATCTGAAGATTGAATGGGAAGTATAACAGGTTCATAAGCTCTCAAATAAGTGTCAACTGTATAGCATTGATGTACATAATCTTCAGGGTTTTGCCTCTGCTTTCTTATAGCTGCTACACCATGACTGCAAGGAATTCCACTGAGATCCCAAGCTCTACAATTGCACTGTCTTTGGGCTAAATCCACCTTGAAGGCCTTGAAGTTCTGATCATCAACTTGATAAATGTTATCATGTGACTTATAAGTACTATACCTAGTTGCCTTTTCCTTTGCCTCTTCATGACATTTCATAATTTCGGGACAAATCTTATGTGGATATGTCTTCATTTTGCCTCTATTTTTCTGCATTCTAGTCATAAGATATATATATCCTTATCTTATCACACATTGTTAAGATAAGCTTGTCCCTAAAACTCAATATAGTGTTATTCCAGCTCTGACACAAGTTGTTTAATAGCATATCTGTCTTTGGAAATATGCTAAAAAAAAAGCCCTACAGTAGTGACTAGGCTCTCTGGCAGCCAACCACTCAATAGCTTTCTGATCTTCTTCCTTTAACTCATCCATAAGCCTTTTATAATCTGTCTCTGTTGTGCTTTTACACAGCCCACAATTTCAGCTTCAACACATTTCCAATAAAACCATCCTTGAGAAAGTTAGCATGCATATGCCTTACACAAAACCTGTGTTCCAGTCCAGGAAACAATTCCTCCACAGTTGGTAACAAACCCTTTTGTTTATCAGATATAATTGTCCATGCATGAGGATTACTTGAAATGTTTAAATCATTGTCAAGCAGCTGTAAGAACCATGTCCAGCTATCCTTCAATTCTCCCTCAACAATAGCAAATGCTATTGGAAACATGAAGTTATCTCCATCAACACCAATAGCAGTTAAAAGTTGCCTACCCTTTTGACGACCTTTCAAATGACAACCATCCAACCCAAAAAAAAGTCTACAACTTCTTAGAAACCCTTCTTTGCAAGCTCCAAAGCAAATGTATAATCTAAGAAACCTAGGCCTCTCATTAACACTAAACTCACTGTCAAGCTTCATCTTCACAATAGTCCTAGGATTTCATCTCCTTAATTCCTCACAGTAATCATTCAACAACTTTAATTGCTCACAATCTTGACCATCCAGCTCCTTTCTAACCTTATGCTTAGCCCTATAAGCTTAATGTTTTGTGACCTGACAATGCAATTTCTCTTTCACATGCTCTTGAAACTGTCTTCTACCCCAATCCATATTCAATCTAAAATCATCTTTGTACAACCTAGCAAGGAAACCTGAGTTAACATTTTTGTTTTCATCTTGGTCTCCACATGTGTGTTCAGGGTTGTATGTCTTAATTTGAAATGGACATCTAGGATTGCTCCTTGAGGCAAAGATTGTTCATCTATAAATGTCATTGTGTCTACAATAAACCCTTACTCTTCTGCCCTCATTCTTTTTAAATTTCACATCCTTTCTTCTCATTGCCTCATGATACTTTACAGCCCACTTAAACTCAGAGGCAGATTTAAAAATCATTCCCAAAACAAACTTAAACACTTCTCTTTTCACGTATCTTTCTTGGAAGAAAATTTTAGTACCATTAACTTCCCTCTCAAAATCAGAATCATCTAAACTCCTAAAAATTTCTTCAGAAATTACACAATCAACATCAGAAACTTCTACCTCAACATCATTGTTCACATCCTTATTACTAGGTCCAGGACCATTAACTTCTACCTCTACTTCTTCAAACACAGTATCTGGACCATTAACTTCCCTCTCAGAGTGTTGTTCACTTGTCTCATCGCTGCCCTCACTCAGTAGTGCATCATCTCCCAAAGACCTAGATAACTGCACTTTATAGTCCCATTGATCATCACAGTGATGTTCAACATAAATGTCAAACTCCTTGTTTCTTGGATCCTCTAAACTAAGCTCTAAAATATCAGCATCTGTGCTCAGTTTTCTCACTTCAATCTTTTTGACATTTTTTCTAAACTTAACCTTAACCCAGAATTGGACATTTTTATCACAGAACCTTAATTGTTTAACCATCCTCCTTAAATCTAGTACACTTCCCTCTTCACAGTTAAAATAATCAAAATACTCCTCAAACCCATCCCTATATTCAACTTTTGGCTTCAATACCTGTGACAACCCAAAATTTAATTTTCTAATTTCCGTTTTAAGAAATTCCTATATATCCATTTTTCACTCTTCCAAAATTTTATTTCGAAAACGGTGTTGGAATTAAATATTTTGAACTGAATTTTTAGATAAATTCAACACCGAGAATATTCTATTTCGAAAATTCCTAAATTCTCGGGTACATTGTGTACCAAAATTTTGACCCAAAAGTTAATTTGAGTGAAACCGGAAGAAATCTGAGAAACCTGAACAAGTGTTTATCTAGAAAACATTTTTGGAAAAATGTATTTTTGACCCCAAACTATTTAAAATCTCATTCCTACACTATGGTCCATGTTGTAAGATGAACCATAAGTTTGCCTGATATTTTGTAGAAATCAATCAAATGACCACTTTGACCTCCACCAATCATTGAGAATCCTTCTAGGGTTTTGAACCCATATAAAAAGAACAACAAGCTCATTTTCATTCCCTGTCCCATTTCTTGGCCTCCATTTGAGCTCTCTGCAAATCAAAGAAACACAGTAAGTATATTTCTCATCCATTCATCTTCTTCCTTAAGGTTTTCATCTCCTTGCCTCCAATCTCTGAAGTTGTTTTAAGCTTAGTATGTATATATGTTTGCTTGAGGAAATAGGTGGTGAATGAGGGTAACATCTAAGAAAGAAAGGAAAGAGATCCACACAAGAAAAAGAAGAAATACAAGGTATAACCCATGGACTCCCAATAAGCTTTATTTTGACTTTATGAAGTCTAGATTGTAGTATAAATGCTTAGAAATGCTAGATTATTGATGTTGTTGAGCTATTAGTGATCTATTGTTGATTTATGTTTGTGTTGTTGAGGATTGGGGGGGGGGGGGGAGGGGGGGTGTGAGATTGCACTGAGATGGTTTACAAGTGAAGAGAAGGCCTATGGTGAACCAGACAGCCTCACAATACTAGCCAACGGACCCTGTGGAGGTCCGTCGGCTAGTACCGTGGAGCAACGGTCCCAGGCCTCTGGTACCTTGAGGAGCCTCGCCAGGCCAAATCTGTGTAGTGGTCGAGCCCTCTATGGCTCAGCTACGTGTCGTTCAAACAGGGACTCGCGGGTCCTTGAGGCTCGGACACTCAGGATCGTTACGACGCACTAGTAGAAATTGATTTCGTTGAATTTGGAGTTGAAATGCTCAAATTATAGTAGAAATTGTGTTCAGAATTGCTTTGGAAGTATTCTGTAATTGTTTTACAATGAAGAAGAATTTTGAAGTGTTTGAGCTTAGCTATTTGAATGAAAAGCATGATCGTTATTTATTAAGTTTGGATGAAAAACATGATCATTATTTGCTAAGTTTGATTGAAAGGCATGCCTAAGTATCTAGTGTGATTTATTGAGAAGCTTTCCCAAGAATATGAGATTGTAGAATGTACAGAGCTTGATTTCTAGTTACTGTGAATGAGTTCTTGAAGTATATTTTGAGTTTAAAGAGCATGTTCAATACTTGCTAAGTGTTTGCTAAAAAGATTTGCTAAGTAAAGAATTGTTAAGCATGAAATAACACTTGGTATGCTAGATTCACAGTGAAGAAGGAATTGAAGTATTCTTTACAGTACATGAACTTGTTTAGCATTTCATGATTTAGAGTGCATTAGTGGCTCTAAGTAAGCCTAAGTATTCTTTCAAAAACCTA